GGGGGTAGCGGGGAGGGAGGGGAAAAATGAGGACCTAATGTCAGGGGTTTAAGTGGAGAGAAAATGTTTTGAGGATGATGTACAAATGCGCTTTACACAATTGATGTGTGTATGGATTGCGATAACAGTTGTATGAGCCCCTAATAAAATGTTAAAAAAAAACAATCCTGAGCCATGGGGGATCCTGATTTCCGGAGCCATCGCATCACATCTGGTTAATTCTACAATCCTCTCCCGCCAGTTTCTGGACTTCAGCCGAGTCTCTTCATCCAGATGGATGGGTGTCCCTCGCTTGGCTCATCTTTGAAGTCTTCCTGACTTTCTTTAAAGTCCCTGATCTAACTAAGAACTTGTTTTATATGGGCCAGCACACTCAAAAACATGTGGCAGTCACTTCTTCCATGATTTAGGCTGATGTCCACCTCAGTTTTATTAAACATTTCTTATTCTGACTTCAAAATAGTCTCCCCCCAGTCCCCATGGAACAAAAGTACCGCCCTTCCTCTTGAAGGCACCCTAATGAGACTGAGACCGGGCATGTTATGGAAGACCATTTTCGCAGCCCCTCACCGCTCACGGACATGTTTAAGCACACTTTGCTTGGATTAAACCCCTATGTGTGTGAACTGGCACCCTAGCAGCAAGGCCTTTTTACTTCTCTCCTGGACGGGAACCCGATTAGGTACGGGGGCACAGTTGCAAGCAAGATTCTATGTGCTCTTCAGTGTATGACAAGATGATCACAGGACAATTTTTTTCTGGTAACCTGATATTAAAATTTCTTTCTCAGCCCGGCCTTTTTCTAGAGACCCATTGTAAAGATATATTTATAACACAGCGAGAGTATAAGTGCTCACATCTTGCCACTATTTGGCTGTAGAAGAAAACCCTCTGGGAATAAGTTATGAGATACAGCCCTTGCCAGACTGCAGAGAAAGAAAAAATCTCCTTTTAGGGTGCCAAGGTTCGGGCAGTCAGAAACTGCTATGCGCAAGGCAGCTTTAAGGTTTTTCGTGGTTTCTAGACTCATGTGAAGACGTTTAGATGAAAGGAAACTTCCACTTTCTGACTGCTGTATTTACACACACCAAGCGCCTGTGGTGTGTGTGTGTGTGTGTGTGCGCGCGCACGCGCGTGTTTGCAGCTCTGGTGGCAGACCTGGAGATTTGCATTGACTTTGGTGTTTGCTTTGCAGGAGTTTATGTCGATGCTGTTAACTCCCTGGGCCAGACTGCACTTTTCGTTGCTGCATTATTAGGTCTGACGAAATTGGTCGATATTCTGGTGGATTATGGCGCAGACCCAAATCAGTAAGTAGAATAACATCAGTGTCCACAAAATAACAGGTGTATGCTTAAGACACGCTGGTATATTAGGGGGAAATTTCGACAAAATAATAAAAGCCAAAAAAAATTTTTGGCTAATTTATAACAATGAAGTAGTCCAAATGTTGATATGCTTGTGTGAAGTAACTGCTGATAAAGGTATTTTAAAAAAATCATTTTATTGGGGGCTTATACAGCTTTTATCACAATCCATACATACATTGTGTCAAGCACATTTGTACATTTGTTGCCATCATCATTCCCAAAACATTTTCTTTCTACTTGAGCCCTTGGTATCAGCTCATTTTTTAACCCTCCCTCGTGAAGCCTTGATAATTTATAAATTATTTTTTTATGTCTTGCACTGACCAATGTTTCCCTTCACCCACTTTTCTGTTGCCCATCCCCCTGGGAGGGGGTTAAATGTAGATCAGTGTGAAAAGTTCCCCCACCTTCCCCTTTACCTTCCTGGTATGGCTACTCACATTATTGGTTCTGAGGAGTTTATCTGTCCTGGATTCCCTGTGTTTCCAGCTCTTATCTGTACCGGTGTACATGCTCTGGTCTAGCTGGATTTGCAAGGTAGAATTGAGTTCATGATAGTGGGGTGGGGGGAGCATTAAAGAACTAGAGGAAAGTAGTATGTTTCATCTGTGCTATACTGCACCCTGACTGGCTCATCTCTTCCTTGTGACCTTTCAGTAAGGGGATGTCCAATTGTCTACAGATGGGCTTTGGGTCTCCACTCCATACTCCCCCTCATTCACAGTGATATGATTTTTTTGTTCTGGGTCTTTGATGCCTGATACTTGATCCCATGGATACCTCATGATCACACAGACTGGTGTGCTTCTTCCATGTGGGCTTTGTTGCTTCTCAGCTAGTTGGCCGCTTGTTTATCTTCAAGCCTTTAAGACCCCAGACGCTATCTCTTTTGATAGCCGGGCACCACCAGCTGATGCAGGGTTTTTTCTAAGTAGTTTCATTGGGCCCTGTGAAACAAGGAAGTGGACTGAACTGGTCATTAGAGACGCTGTTTGTGTATGTCTCTCTCTGGGTCGTCATTTGAAATAGGGCCTGTTTGCTTTCAGTTTAATATATGCCCTGGCAAGTTTGTCTCCAATTTATATACCTGATAGTCAAGAATGACTCTCTGTCAGAAAGTTTGACTCTTGCCTGGCTCTTGTGGTGGTGGTTTTAAAGATTCTGAGTTTCCTAGGTGGTCCAAAGTTTAATATGGAGCAGAAGGTAGTGAATCAGCCTCCTGCAAAGCTCCCTTCTTGTAGGCCTGGGGTTCGTCCTAGCTCAGACTCACCGAATCCTCGCAGCACCCCCCTGGCAGGTCTTTGTCCAGTCCCGTTAACAGGCCAAACACCGTGTTCCCAGAGTGCCCGTGATTCCACTTGCTGGCATAGGAGTGTCTAATGTGAACAATTACAAAAGTTATAAAATGACGAAGGGCTCAAGTAGAAAGAAAATGTTTTGGGAATGATGATGGCAACAAATGTACAAATGTGCTTGACACAATGGATGGATGTATGAATGGATTGTGACGAGCCCCCAATAAAATGATTTATTTTGTAAAAGAAGTTATAAAATGGCCTGTCATCTGACATGAGGTTTTGGTTTAAAACAAACAAAATAACTTATTGATGCTGGGGTTTTGTTTGTTTCTTTTTAAATAAGATTACTTAGGGGGACAAAACTTGTTAATTTTAAATGGGAAAAAAACCCCAAAAAGACAGCCCATACTAGATACAATTACTATATATTCTTTAATAGGATCGAACTATTGAATTATATGATATGTGAAATATATGCCAGCAATATTCTTCAAAACTTAAAAAAACAAAAACAAACAGAAAGGTTTACCGTGAGTCGGCATGGACTCATGGAAAGGGCACAGACCGAAGGCTGTATAATCCTTGCCCGTGCCACCTGCTGAACCCCGCTTGGAGGAGGGCCTTGGAGCCGCTGACACACTTGTGACCCCGCAGCCGCTGCTTTGATGGAAGCACTCCCGTGCACGCAGCCGCGTTTTCCGCTCACCAGTGGGTCCTCAGCAGACTGCTGGACGCAGGAGGAGACTTACGGCTTCACGACGAGAAGGGCCGCAGCCCTCAAGCTTGGGCCTTGGCGGCCGGGAAGGACCGCAGCTCCGCGGTAAGGGGGCCACCTAGAACCCGACCCTGGGGACCCTGGGCTAGCACGGGCTTTTGGGGGCTCTGGACATGCAGGCCCGGGGTGGGGGTTGGGGGAGCTGGCCAAGCAGTTGTACAGCAACTCCCCAGGCAAGCCTGGGAGTCCTCCTCATCTGTTCGGGGTGGAGGGAGCGCACTGGCTGCTGTGCTAGCTGCTCTTTAGGCAGCAATTCATTCAGTTCCCAACGCAAGTCGGTCAGGGAGGCCCAGAAACATCCAGTCACCTGCCACAAAGCAGCAGGCAGGACATGTGGTCAGCGGAGTTAAACCACATAGCAAGTGTCAGAAGCACTGAGGTCTGTCTGAGTGGTGCTGGGAAACCGGGAGGGGTGTGTGTGTATGCGCGTCTCCTTCCATTTCCCACCTCCCCTGTGCTGCCCTGCAGCGTCAGACTGCACAAGTCCCTTCGCCCCTCCCAGCCTCGATTTTCTCATCTGTGGGAGGATCCCCTTGGCCCCAAATCATTCCACGCCGTTAGAAATCACCGGGCCCTCGGCTTGCAGCATTCCTGCCCGGCCGGGCCATGGGCAGCGGGCTCTGCGTTGCGTTGCAGGTGGTGGACTTCATGCAGCGCTGCGCCACGCACATGCAGGCTGTCCTCCAGGGCTTCTGTGACCTGCTTAGAAAGATCGACTCCCCGCAGCGGCTCGTCTGCGGCCTGCCCAGGTTCGGGGGCCTCCGGCAGGGGTGAGTACTACCCTTAGTGGAACAGGGGTTTCTGCACCACCCAGCCTTCCCCAGGGGTCCCCTGCCAGCACCCGTCCATGAGGATGAGGCCATGGATGTGAGGTCAGTAAGTGGAGAAGCCGTCACGGTTTGGTTTTCCCCAGGACCCTCTTTCTGTCATCGAAATAACTGGTCCAGCTGCTGTGGGGTCCTTACTGCAGCCCCAAGCCCGGCTTCTCCTGGGAGGCCCCGGATGCTGGGATGCTGCTGCTTCCCAAGGGAAGAGTTACTCCCCCCTCTTCACCACGACCTTTAAAAAAGAAGTCAGGTCGTGCCACTCCCAGCCCACACTTTGGTAGGTAGGACCCCCCAGGGGACTTACAGGATGAAGCGGAACCATGCAACCCATCTGGGGGGAGGTTCCTTCCCACGTGCGCAGAGGTTGGGAGACTTGTCAGAGTTGGGGATGATTTTATTCATACACATTCCTGTTGGCTGTTTCCCGCCTAGAATAGATCTGGGCAAGGGCAGGGACCAGGTCTCCGATCTTCAGTGCTAGCCCTCAGCTGCCTGGTGTGTGGGACAGTACCGGGAGACAGGGTGTGGACAGGGCAAAACCCAGCCCAGGTGTCATGAAGCATCCACTAGAGGTGATGCCTGCTAGTGCTCCAGCGGCTGGACCACGCAGGGCTGAGGGTGGAAGGAAGTACATCTGCCCTTGAAATAGAGGAAGGAGCCCTGGGGGCGTCGTGGGTCAGCAGTGGACTGTTAACTGCAAGACCAGCAGTTTGAATCCACCAGCCGCTGGGGAGAAGAATGAGGCTGTTTGCTCCCATAAAGATCAACTGCCTCAGAAACTCTGTGTAGGGTGGTTCTGAGTTAGACCTGACTCGATGGCAATGGCTGGGCTGGGTTGCAGGTGGCATTTGGGCGGGGCATATGGAAGAGCCATGGCAGGAATGCGGAACACTGAGCTCTGGTTCCCTGCTGCTCTGTGACCTTAACTCAGCCGCCCTTGCAGTCTGGAACATGAGCACACTAGAAAGCTCATGTGCTGTATATTTGGTAACTCGCTTCCAAACAAACGTAGCCGCTTCTGATCTGGCTGTGGGTGGCGGATCTGGGAGTGCCTGGGCTGAATGTGGGTCTATAGACGCTGGTGGAAGGTGCCTGGTCGAAGGCTTGTCTGGCCTGGAGGGCCCAGGTCCACGGGCTGATGCTGGTGCTGGGCTGCTCCACAGGGTTGCTGAGTGGCTTCACGGCATGGGCACTGGCTCTTCTGGAGAAGGGGACAAAAGTCACTGTCATTTGGGCCGTTCCCTGCTGTGTTCACAGTGTGGAGGGGAACACAGGGCGTGGCGGCCCCTCAGAAGCAAGCTGTCCGTGTTGCTCACTGCTACACCAGAATACACCCTGTCTGGTCCTGATAGGGACCATTGTGATAGCCCTCGGATTCTGAGTGCCTTCCAGTCCAGGGGCCACATCTCCGCTGCTGCTGCTGCTGCCCTGGATCTTTGGATTTTCAGTGGCTAATTTTTCACAAGTAGATGGCCAGGCCTTTCTTCCTAGTCTATCAGTCTGGAAGCTTCACTGAAACCTGCCCATCATGGACAGGCACACAGGCATTTGAAGTACCGGGGTAGCATAACTTCCAGCAGCACATAAGCCATCACAGTAGGACACACCGACAGACAGACGGGCGGTGGTGGCCCCCTCTGTGGGTGGGTCCACGGTCAACAGCTGAGTAGTGGAGACAGAGCTAAGGTGCATTCTGAAAACAGTGGCAGCATTGTCCCCTGGGCAACCCTGACTTTGGTTCCCCTGCTTTAAAATATTTCTAGAAACTCTCCTGGCTCCCCTAACCGACTGCCCAAAGCTGGAGTGATTTCTGCCCAAAACATCTACAGCTTTGGCTTTGGGAAGGTAAGTCCGGCCCGGGCCGCCCCCCACCTTTGCCCAGTCTCCCTCCGTAGTCTCCCCTCCATATTCTCACCGAAGTAGGTGGTGGTTTGTTTCTGTTTTGCATTTCTTTTGCCCCCGTTGAGGAAAAATACCCCCCACCTTCTTTCTCCCTGTGCTTACTGAAGCAAAGTCCACCGAGCGACCTGAGCTGATTCGGAGTGCTTAGAAAATGGTCCTGACTTCGCCGTGAAGGCCCGGGTAGATGAGGGGATTCAGAAAGTTCATGGCAACATTCTCTTATTGTGGGCTCCGGCCCCACAAACCAAACGGGTCCTTAGGAGTGGCTTTGCGATTACGGAAAGTAAGATAGACAAGCGAGGCACAGGGGCTCCCCATTCCCACGTTGGGATCGAGAGAGAGTGAATATATTTTTCCATGGGTGCTTATAATCATGGGGCCTACAGATCTTTCAACAGGCAAACACGTAATGGAGTGGACATGTGACAGTGAGTGCATAATAAAACAGGCGGGTAATAGAATGAGTCAAGTGCCTAATCTTGTCCCTCCCCAAGTTCTTCCCCAGAGGAACAATTTATGCTCAGTATCGGAAGAAGACGTCAGAAAGGAGCCACTCTTTAGGGTGGGATGGGCAATAGCATCCGATCGCTCTTTACTGCACAGAACCTCCGGGCGCATCTTTCACGGCAGCTCCTTCTTAGAGGACTAGAGTAGCGGCTATTTTCAGTCACGAGAATGTGTATTAATGGTCATTTTTATCTCAGAACTCTGGGAGCCTTCTCCCACCAGAGTTGGCCTTCCAGGCGCTCTGAATTGGAGCATGGAGGGTTTGGCCGCTTACATTCTCATCCAGTCCCTCATCTTTCAGTTCTGTTTCTCTGTGAACTTTTTGGAAGCCACTGGTGGCCTGGCTCTGTGAGTGAGTGACCTGCCCTCCCACGGTGTGTAAGCACTGCTGACATGCTTTTAAGGACTTGGGTTTTTAAAGTGTGGAGGGTCCATGGTGACTCGTGGCTCCTAGCTCTGCCGGTCCAGGAAGGCCATTGCTGGTGGGGGGTGATGTTTGCTGGCCCCTCAGCCCTCATGCCTGAGGCTCTGTTGGGGGCTCACAGGCCCCTCACCCCAGCACAGGCGCCTTGGGCAGGTGTCTGACCCTTACCATGAGCCTTAGTTTCCTCATGGGTCAAAGGGCAAGAATTACTACAACCTTGCAGGGCTTCTCAGAAACTTAAAGATAATATAAACTAGAAAATTACTATCAGTCTCATAGGGGGATTCAGTCCTTTGGGGAGCGTTTCCTCCCACAATGCAGGCTGGCGTGGGTTTCAGTTTTATCTTACAGGAGGGAAGCAGCTGGCCTACCTCGGCGCTCTTCCCGTCGTTGGAGCAAAGGATGTGATTCAGGCTGACGACGAGCCCACCTTCTCCTTCCTCAGTGGCCCCTACATGGTCATGACCAAGTACGTGAGCAGCCTGACCAGGCGAGGGGGTGTTCGTCTGGGTAAACTAGGGAAACAAATCCACAGAAACCCATATGTATAAGAGAGAGTTTTATATAAAGGGTAAGTGTACATTAAGAAAGCATCCCAACCCAGTGCTGCCCAAGCCCATAGGTCCAACATTAGCCCATATGTCTGACACCAATCCACAAAGTCCTCCTCAATCTCACAAAAACACACGCAGTGATGCCGACTGCAGGAGGAAAGCCAAATCAGTGAGCGTGTAAGCATCTCAGCGCTGGCAGGGGTCTCCACAGGGCTGCTCCAGCACCCAGGGCTGCATCCGGGTAGGTCCATGTGGCTTCTCCTCAGGGATGTCTTGCAGGAAGTGAGCCTTGCCAGCTGAAGCAGGGAACTGGCTAAGGCAGCTACATCTGGTCTGACCATCAGAAAGCAAGAGACCCGAGAACTAGAAAGGCGAGGCTCACTGAGCCATTTATCTCTCCGCTCTTCAGTTAATCCCACATGTGTTTATCGGCCAGGTTGGCACAATAAACCTAACTATCTCACGAGGCTTCATGTGTCTGGGGGAAGAGCGGAGGCGGTTCCTGCCCTGCATTTGGAGGGTTTCTTCCCAAACACAAGCAAACGTGGAGAAACATATCTTAGGTTGGGGTTTTCCAACCTGGACACTAGTGACATCTTGGGCTGGGTCATTCTCTGCTGTGGGCCTACCCTCTGCATGGGAGGAGGGTGAACAGCACCTCTGGCCTCTGCTCGCTAGATGCCCAGAGCACCTGGTGCCCCAGCATAACACCCACAAATGTCTCCACCCACTGCCATGTGCTCCCTTGGGGGCAAGCACCCCAGCTGAGAACCACTGCGCGAGAGAGTTCTCCTTACAGTACCCAAACTCCTCTGCATTGGAATTAGAATCAGCTACATGCCCTTTTGTAAAAAAAATACTTTTATTGGCATTTAACCCAGGTATCATGTGATTTAATTGTTCGATCATATTAAGAAAAGTTGTGCAAGCTCAATGTCTGGGAGGAAACACAGGTACTGAAGCCCACGAAGCTGCTGGGACAGCTGCACCTCTTGCCAGGCAGCTCCAGCAGAGGCCCAGGGGCGGTGTTCGGCTGTGATGAAATTCCCCAGAGGCCTGGCACTTAAGGGGCCCATGGGAGCTGTCTCAGCCAAGGCCTCAGCCTCTACGAACCAGGACCCTTCGTGGTTTAAAAGAAACTACCTCTCAACACTTTAGCCAAGAAAAGACCAGGGTCAGACTCGTGAGGCTCTCTGTCCTCATGCCACAGATCTGTCCACCGGTCACCTCTCCTCTGATACTACCCCACGGTTACTGCTGGGCCCCAAGTCTGACCCCTTAGCTGGATCCTGGGCTGCTCCATCCCACACTCTCCATACCAGGGGAGCCTCTGTCTTTTGACAGTCCACACCTCATCCAGTCCCTGGACCAAAATCCTGCAGTGACGCCCCCCCAGGGAGTGCCAGGGCAGACACACCAGCCCCCAGGTCTGATCACGCCCCTCCTGCCTCCGATGCAGCCTGGTGTGGAACGGGAGCAGGGTCACAGTGAAGAAGCTGAACCTGTCTGCCCACCCGCACTGCAGCCGGCTGCGGCTGGCCGACCTGCTGATTGCAGAGCAGGAGCATTGCAGGTGAGGAGCTTCGGGGCCAGGGCCCCTACAGACCCAGACTGCCTCCCCTCCCTAGCATCCCCTGACCTGACTTCCGAGGGGTCCCAAGGAGGAGTGAATGGTGGCGTTGGTGAGAGGCACAGCGCTGCTGGCTGATTGGCTTCCCAGAACCTTGGACCTGATGGAACACCATGTGGCCGCCCTGTGTGCACTGAGTCCCAGCCTCTCTGGGATGCCAGCTCCTCCCTGGGTTTCCTGTGACTGTCACACCAGTGTCCAGAGGTTTTAGCTTGGGATGAACCTGGGTTCTGTGTCTCTAGAGGCCGAATGCCGCTTCCTGGGGAAATCAGCTTAGAGGGGACCCAGCAACTGAGTGGATGTGTACAATCAACGAGGGCTGGGACTGAGACCAAATGGGGTAGAAGACTGGGCAGCATTCTGCCAGCGATGGCGTCCTGGCCTCATCTTGAACGTGAACCTGATAGAGTTCTCCCAACTGGCTGTTGGGATCTGAGATGGAGTATGCCCTCGGGGCCGTTCCTCCATAGTCCCTGGTACTCTGAAGTCCTTGGGGTCTGGTCAGGGAGAGTTCACAGATTCCACTACAGAGGAACCCCCCTCACCCCCCCGCCGCTTCCCCTTCCCGCCTGACCAACCCAGTCTCACTCCCTTCCTGTGTGTTTAGAAGAACAGGGTGTGTCCTTGGTCCTTGAGTAGCATTTGTTCAAAAGGCCTAGAGAAGAGAGGGCAGCACCCGTCTGTTCACCACCCTGCTTCCCCCACCTGCCTGAGTTGGCTTCTCTTTGCAGCAAGCTGCGGCACCCTCACCTGCTGCAGCTGATGGCCGTGTGCCTGTCCCAGGACCTGGAAACCACCCACCTCGTGTATGAGCGCATCACCGTGGGCACGCTCTTCAGCGTCCTCCACGAACGGGTGAGGGATGCCCCCTGGGTGCCCTCTCCGCTCCCCCAGTCCCCTTAGATCTCCGACTGTGTGTGCCTGCACAAGGATCTCTTCGCCCAGGGGCCAGCCAACTGACTCGAGAGCCATATGAGGCTCTTGTGGTACATACATGTGGCTCTGCAGTAAAACCGAAATTGAAAATGAAACGATCACAGTTTCATTTAAACACTTCTATTTGTAAAAGTATATTGATGGCTCTTAGATAATTTTTAAATTGTTGTGAGGGACAGGATTGGCTCTTCCGTCTCAAAAGTTTGCCAAAAGTTTGTCTTAGTCCTTGACTTGTGTGTGCTCTATAAGGCATCCTTTAAGGGCCCTGGTGGTGTACTGGGTTATGTGTTGAGCTGCTAACCCAAGGTCAGCAGTTTAAAACCACCAGCTGCTCCAAGAGAGAAAGTGGAGGCTTTTTACTCCCATAAAGTTAGGGTCTTGGAAACCTACCGGGGCAGATCTACCCTGCATTGTCAGTCCTGCTGCTATATCAGACAGTTAGGAGATCAGCAGGCACAGGAAGCTCCCCAAAGGGGCACTTTCACTGTGTCCTGAGTGAGTTAGCTTTCGGAGTCCACTGACTGGGTAGGTTCCTTGGTGGGTGGGGGAGGCTCAGGTCTGGCTTTCCCCAGCAGTTTGCCCCAGGCTGGCCCTGAGTGGTCCCCTCAGGCTCTGAGGTGTTCAGAAGCTTAGTTCAGGCGAAGGGGCCAGGCTTGCAGCCTGGGTTCCTGGATCCAGGACCACTAGGCTCTTCACGTCACCACCCGGGCTGTAGGTGGTAAACTGGGGCTACTAGGTAACCAGGACGATGCAATGGACGGCTCTGGACACTAAAGAGTGTTGCCCGGTGTCCGGGGCCTGGCGCGTTTCTCCTTGCAGAGGTCCCAGTTCCCCGTGCTGCACATGGAGGTGATTGTGCACCTGCTGCTGCAGATCTCCGACGCCCTGAGGTACCTGCACACCCGTGGGTTTGTCCACCGCTCCCTCAGCTCCTACGCCATCCACATCGTCTCGACCGGGGAAGCCAGGCTGACCAACCTAGAGTACATGCTGGAAAGGTGAGTGGACCCTTGGCCGGACTTGCACAGAGTCCCCCTGCAAGCCAAAGCCCTGCGAGTTGAAGGCCGATCCCCTACCTCTTGCTCTCAGGGCACGAAGGGTGGATCCCCCTGCGCTTCCACAAACACAACCTGGGGCAGGAAGGTCAGGGTTTAGACAAAGCTCTAGACACTCTGAAACCGCGTGCCTGCGTGGGCGCCACCTGCTGTTCAGATGGAGGCATAGCAGCTCGTGCTTTGGCTCACCCGTAGAAATGTGAATTCCACACTAGAGCCCTGGTGGCGAGTAGGCATTAAGGGGTTGGGCTGCTAACGGCAAAGCCAGCAGTTTGAAACCATTAGCCGCTCTGCGGGAGAGAGATGGGGTTTTCTACCCCATAAAGATTTACAGTCTCAGCAACTCCCTGGGGCAGCTCCACCCTGCCTTACAGGGTCTCAGTGACAGAGTTTGAGTGGCGCCTGGAGCTGATCCAGTCCCTCCCTCTTTGCTAGGTGAGAAAACCAAGGCCCAGAGAGAAGAGAGGCTCTAAGGCCCCCATCTGGCGGGCTGGAGGAAGAGCTGGGGTGCAGTCTGGGCGCTCCTTTGCTACAGGAGCAAGAAGGGCTTGAGGAGCAGCTAGGCAGCCCCAGGGGGGCTCTGCTGCTGACCCGGGTGCCAGAACAGAAGGGAAGGTGTGAGATGCACTGACCTCTGAGGATCAGCCACATGGCCACGTGAGGGGCTCCATCAACGCCACAGGTGGTCCAGAGGGGCTGAGTGTGGAGCTCTTGTTGGGGCTGGCAGTCAGCAGTTGCAGCCCGAGCAGAGTGGCCGATAATGTGAGCGGTTATCCAGGAGTCCCCAGTGACTGTCAGGCCCACACTTGGATTGTTGGTAACACTCTAGCTGACAGGTTGGCTTGTTCAGTGCCAGTGTCAAGGCTAGTGCCTGCCTCTTGGTGTAAAAGACACTGCCGTTTCTCCCACTCTCCAACTCCTTTTTCCCCTCATAATCCGCATAGCCCGCAGTTCAGTAGTTCGATCCTATCCTGAAGAGTTGTGCAGTCAGTCCACCATCAGTTTAGGACATTCCAACTGCTTCTTAGTGGGGTCTTCAGAGTTGGAAGTGACCTAGGAGATGGTGTCACAGAGCCGCCCCTGTACATGTAATGATGGCGGAGCTGAAGCCTAGAAAAGTATCAGCCCCGAGTGGCAGCCAGGATGGAGGAGGGCCCCTGTCCTCCCCACTGTGTCAGAAAGGAAGGTGAGAGGAAGTGAAAGAGGCAGGCTGTCAACCCTGCTTCTAAGTGCCGTGCCTCTCAGCAGGGCAGCTGAGCTACAGGGCCAGTTTGTAACGCCAGGTCAGCAAATAACTTCTTGTCCCTTGCTTCTTAAGAAGGGTTGACTTCGTTATTACGTCATACTGAGTGCTCGCCGTAGTGTTGGTGCCAGCTCTTTACTTGGCTCGAAGAGTATTTGTACAGCCCCGGTCTCGAGAGGCCCCTGACAGCTGTGGGTGGCTGTCAGCGCAGACCTGAGTCTGGGGACCCTGACGCAAATCCATTCAGGTTTTGTGGGCTCAGCCAACGTGCAGTGCGCTCTGACTCAGCCGTCAGGTCTACCAAGGAGGCCGAGCCACTTACGCAAACCCTGGAGCCTTCGAGTGCTGAGCTGAGGGGCCTGGCCTTCAGAGGACAGAGAGGAGGCGATCAGAAGTTGAGGGTGGGTGCCCTAGACAACTGATGAAAGCCCCTTCTTGGAAGAGTTGGCATCTTCTTTATTTTATTAAAACATATTTGACTTTGTGTGTGGGTGAAGGCTCACACTGCATTTTGGGGTCGCATTCAACAATTTCTGCACAAGTTGCTGGTCCCATTCTCCACATTGTGTGCACACCCTCACTCTCGGTGCTGTGATTGTGTGATTTCTAGCCATCCAGGTCCTCTGCCGCCTGACGTTCTCACCTTTGCTTTGAAATACTCGTGGAACACGTGGTCTCAGATGGGTGGTTTCTAAAGGGCGCAGTGCTTATGAGTGCTCGTTATTTTTTGAGCCAGTCTGTTATTTAGCTGGACGGTGACCTTGGGTTAGTGTTGGTTCAAGGTCTGCAGAGTATCTCAAGGCAAGTCTCGGGAAGTCCTCCAGTCGCAACCAGCCCAGTAGGTCTGGTTTTGAATTTCAGAAATTTGAGAGTCTGTCCCATATTTTCCTCCCATTCTATCAGGCTCTGTCTGTTGTGGTCCAGATTTGAATGGGTGCTGGTGGTAGCTGGGCGCCATCCAGTGCCTCTGATTTGGGGTGGACTCTGGTCCTGTTGCTCAGTCTCTTCTTCAGTCTTCGGCTTCCTCCTCTTTTGCTACAAATGAGTGGCGAGCAATCGTGGTCCCTTGGATGCCTCGGACGGGCCTCGCACTCGTTACTTCATGGTGAGTGTTGAGGCTCTGTCGCAAGCTCAGGAATGCAGTGATACAAAAGATGGATGAGGGGGCCTGCTCTCATGGGCTGACCCCAAGTGGGGTGCAGAGGGGAGCTAGATAGTAATAAAATGAACCCCCCCCCCAAAATCCATTCAGCTAGCAAGTGCTCTGAAACCCATAAAAGAAATCTACTTCCAGTTAGGTGGTCAGGGAAGGCCTCTCCGAGAAGCAGGTACTTGTCCGGGATCTGTGTTCGGAGTATGCCAGGCGGAGGAAGCCAGCAGTGCACCAGCTGGAGAGGACAATGTGTCCAGCGTGCGAAGGAAATAGAAAGAGGCCCCGGGGTTTGAGTGGAGTGGTGGGTGGGGAGAATGGCTAGGTCAGGTGGGAGGTGGGTGAGGCAGCCCTGGCCAGGTGGAAAGGATAAGGGGATCCAGGCTTGGGCCATCCCAGCGGTCCTGTAACTGAGCTCAGAGTCTGGCGAGGCATGGGAAAGCTCTGGGAGGCCGCCAGCCACTGTTCAGAGGGAACGGCTTCACAAAAGTGTTGTCCGTTGGTTGTTTTGCTCTCCTGAGATGAGCACCCTGCCTGTATGTTGTCTTCTGTAGCCACGAAGGAGGCGTGCACAAGGACCTGACCGGAGTACCCCTCCCCACCCAGCTGTACAACTGGGCTGCCCCCGAGGTGGTGTTTGAGAAGACGGCCACAGCCAAGTCGGACATCTACAGCTTCTCAGTGGTCATACAGGAGATTTTAACCGGTAGGTCAAGGCCGAGCATTAGCAATTGGCCAAAGTCCCTATTAGTAGGTTGCATTTTCTCCCTCCAGAAGTTACTTCTTTTTATGAGAACACTACCTGGCCTGAGGCCGTGAAGTTTCCCTTCTGGTCCCAGGTGTACTCATGGCTGATATTCCCTTTTTCGGGGGCCAGGGCCTGCCTGGCAAATGGGCCGAGTGGCTTCTCAGGTGTGGTTGAGCTCCCCAGGTAGTTTCTCTACTGGGAAAAACATTTAAAGGGGTGAGTGATTGGATGGAAGATCTCCCAGCCCACTCGGCGTCTAACTGTGGCTCCTCCCGGTGGCTTTCCCCTGCAGACACCGTACCCTGGAATGGTTTGGAAGGCTCAGTCATCAAAGAGACCATGGCCTTGGGAAATCACTTGGAAGCTGATGTCAGGCTTCCAAAACCTTACTATGATATTGTTAAGTCAGGCATCCAGGTGAAGCAGAAAGACCGAACTATGACCCTTCAAGATATCCGATACATTCTGAAAAATGACTTAAAGGTGAGCCTGGGGCTTGTCTTCTCTCTCCTGGGGGTGGGAGATCAGGAGCGAGGGACCAGGAACCTCAGCTACGAGAAGTTTGTTACAGCCTTTCTGTGTTCCTGAAAAAGGCATAGTTGCTTCACTTGGTGAGGACAGGAGGGCAACAGTGGAGTCAGCAAATGCAGTGACATTCGCACTCCAAAAACAGTTGTAACAACAGCTATGATGGCCTCCTTAGAATTACAGACTTCTGATGGCCGGATCTCTCTCTCTGGGACATTCAGGTGACCCTAAGGAAACCCTGGGCAACCTCTGTGTCTTACAGGATTTCCTCGGCGCCCAGAGAACTCAGCCAATGGAAAGCCCCAGAGCGCGGAGCTACGGACCCCATCCCGATGTCAACGTCTACCTTGGGCTGACCTCGGAGCATCCCAGAGAGCCCCCCGACTTGGCAATAAAAGAGCTGAAGGGAACTAGCAGGCCTTTCCCCACAGGTTAGGCCCCGGGGTGACAAGCAGGTGTTTGAAGTCACACGAAGTGCCACTCATGCAGTTTTCCAAACTGTAAACCCACCTTGTGCTGAGGGTACCTTCCAGATAAGTCAAGATCCTTAAAATCATCCAATTAAGCGCTGTGGGCTCACATATATCTCCTTCTTGGGTCCAGAGCTAAGCAGTAGCAAGCTGTCTCTTCCTAGCCCTATACCTTTTAGGAATTGACCTTGAAAATGATGCTTTTAAATATTGAAAACAATCTGACCCAATACACAGAAGTAAATTACTCGGCCCTTTAATTCTGCCACCGAGGAAGCGTTGGCTGGCGTGTTGGTGTTCCCTTCCATTCTTTTGCCTTGTAGCCTTACTGCTTTTTTGAGTATCTCGGAACCTTGGCATTTGAAGCTGGGAAGGGGCTGGCAGTCAACAAGCTCATGTTACAGATGTGAACACCCAGGATTCAGAGAGGTTAGGGCCCGCTCAGGGTTGCAGAGCTTGTTAGAGAGCCGGAACCTAGGTTTTCGGACTGGTCCCATTTGACTCTCCTTCTGACTGTGCTGGAGCCCTGAAGAGGGAGGGGCCCAGGCTCTCATTCTTTGGGTCCCTCCATCCCATTCTGCATAAGCCACACCCTCTTCAACCTGGGGTGGCAGGGTGGCAGACCTGGACCTATTTTTTGCTGTATTATTCCTCTCATACAGGGGCCCTGGTGCCTTAGTGGTTACGCAGTGGGCCGTGACCACAAGGTCAGCAGTTTGAAACCACCAGCCCCATCTTGGGAGAAAGAGAGGACTTTGTACTCCTGTTAACAGTTACAGTCTTGGAAACTCACCTTCAGGACAGTTCTACCCTGTCCTATGGGGCCACTAGGAATGGCCACTGATGCTTGGTAGTGAGTTGTGGATTCTTCCCATGCTGCATTGGCTTCCTGGGTAACTCCTTGGCTCGTTTTAACAGAGTTCACCAGGAACATAGCTGTGATGTAACTGGCACGAACGGTCAAGCTTGTGTGTGTCAAGAAAGCTGTGACTGCAGCCATTAAGCTCAGGGACTTATCGCTTGCATGCCTTGAGGGTTAAGCATATTTTGAACTCACTGTGATGAAGGTTCCACATGCCCCCAAATAGTGTTTTAGAGAAGGAGCTTAGGCTAGGTGAGGAATGCCCTCTGGCCCAAGGGAGCGTGTCTGGCAGGGCTGTGCCCCGGGGGAGGGGGGGAAGCTGCCTTCTGCCTTCCTGCACCTCAAGCAACAAGCCCAGGCTGCTGGATGGTTAGCAGTGACCACTTTTACCCGGAAACCCCACTCTTGATTTTTTTCAACAGGGAGTCAGCTTCGTTCTCCAAGGGCCACTCCCATGGCTGAAGCACTTGATGCTCAAGCCCGAGAACCAAGCCTGGGGGCCAAGGAGACTCCGAGCCAAGGTGCTGCTTCTCCCAGGCCGCCGCCAGTGGAGGAAGAGACCGGGAGCTCCAGCGCTGATCCGGGGAGCCTGTCCAGCTTCGAGATCAATGAGATTTGCTCCGGCTGCTTGGCTGTGGGGAGTGGCAAAGGGGAGGAGCCCCTCGGATCGCTTTCGTCTCTTGAGGTGGACAGTTCTACCCAGGAGGACGAACTGAAGTCCATGGAGGAGGAGCTGGACAGGATGGAGAGAGAAGCAGGCTGCTTCAGCGACGAGGACGGGAGTTCTTTAGACGTGGAGACAGAGTTCTCCTCCGAGGACTGGGCCTGGGAGCAAGATTCTCCGAGTTCTCACAAGGCCCGTGAGCCCACCAGAGAAGCCAGGGGCAACGTGAGCAGCAGGTCCATGACCGAGGAGTACATCAGCAAGTGCGTGCTGAACCTGAAGATCGCGCAGACCCTGGTGCACCAGAGCGCCGACTTGCTGAGCACCACCCAGCAGAAAATCGACCAGCTGGAGGGGATGCAGAGGGAGCAGGAGGAGTGCAGGTCTCTGTGGGAGAGCTCGCGAGAGTTTGCAAACGTCCCTGATGCACCTTCAGCCCTCGGTCCCCCGGCTTTGGGCTACATCCCCCCTGTCGGGCCGCTGTCAGGGAACCAGCAGCTGGACTCCAGGGACAATTCCCGGACCCTCCCAAGGTCTCCCAGGCCAATGCAAGACTTTCATGGAGGACGTTTTGGCAAAAAATCCCGGAAAAGAAGCCATTGTGGCTGGAAGTCTTTCACGTCCTTCACCCAGGTCTCTGCGGAAAGCCCTGGAGATCAACCCGGGAAGAGCCGTCAGGTGAGCCTACGAAGGGGGAGATGAGGAAGCCGAAGCAGGGTGTGCGTTTAACAGTGCTCCCAGCCTGTGTGCTGGGCATATAAATGCCACCAATGCACAGCAGGGCCCTCCTGACACTGGGAAACCAGGCCTCTAGGATGGGGTGCAAGGTAGACACTCCACCTCAAACTCCAAAACTGGCACCCAGCGTTTATTCCCTTCTCTCAGTGCATCCGGGTGAACCACAGGGATTGCTGCTGCTGCAGGTCAGAGGAGTCAAGACTATGGCACTTTACACGGGTCTCCTTATTACGGGAGCAGTCTTGGGCAAGCTCTAAGGTTCGTTCATTCACTAATGTTCAAGGAGCTGCAGCACCCCTCAGACCCCGATTGTGATGGAGTATGAGCTCTTGAAGCGCCAGGAGGCCCAGGGGGCAGCCTGCGGTCAAGGAAGGCCTCCTTAAGAGGTGAGAAGACCCCACAGGAGTTGGCTGGTCCTTTGGCCCGGGGAGTGCTGCTCTAGGTGCTCCTGTGAGGAGTCCCTTCAGGGCAGGGGCGGGGTCTTACTCCTTTGGCGTCCTAGCAGCTAGTAGGTTCCCTCTGCATGGGCATTGAAGGGATGAGTGAATGAGAGAATTTGGACACGTTTGTGGGTAGAAAACTATTAGCTATAAGCTAATGCCCATTACATACTTTCCTGTGTTATGCTTTGGTTATTTATTACTGCATCACAAACAAGACCCAACAGAGTGGCATACAGCAGTGGTTCAATGTTTTTCTTGATTCCGTGGGCTCCCTAGTGGGTTCTTCTGCTCCATGTGGTATTGGCCAGAACAATCACTCTGTCCACTGCTGCCCATTGGCAGCTGGGCAGGGCCAAAAGATACATGACCTTGTGGGGCTCCTGGAGCCGCACTGGCTTCTTGCCCACAGACTTCTCAAGCAAAAGCCTGCTGAGCCTCCTGAGAGCTGGTCTCAGGTCAGTGCCATTTGTGCCGCTTTCCATTAGCCAGACAGTCGCTTTGGTCAGCCTGGAGTTCAAGGGAGGTGACGTAATGCCCTCTCTTGGGAGGGAGGAGTGGGGACAGTTGAGTGTAGGGACAGTGAGTGTGGGGACAGCGAGTGTAGCATCACTGCCGGCCATGTACTAGTACATCAACCATGCCCAATCCAATTCTCTTTCATTTATCTTCTCTTTAAAATTCCACCCTGTTTTCCTAGCATCACCAGAGAAGATGGTATTTCTACATAAGCAAATTTTTCAGACAATTGTAATCCATCCCTTGTACTTCTCAATTCTTGATATTTTAATTCTATTGAATGAAAACATACTGCCAACTTCCCTTTATTCTTTTTATTTATCTTTCCTTTATTCTAGTCGCCGCATTAGATACATCCTGAATAGGTTCTAACCTTTCTTGGTGGGAGAGAGCGAAGCTGCTCGGTGTGTCTGCTGTTGGGAGATCCAGAAGCAGTGTGGCGTTTGCCACACACTGAGCTCTCAAGAGCTCACGCTCTGGGGAGCGTGTGGTCATTTTTATGTCTTCTCTCACTTGCTGCATCTCCAGGCCCCACCTTATTGCCTTAATTTGTTCCAGACTAAGACATATAATTGACTAAATGTATAATTATGTTAAAAGCTGACCTGAAAGTCTCCGTTTGGGATAAAGAACATCAGCTTCAGTATTTTGAATTTACTGTTTCTAAAGTATCATGGCCTTCGTTTTATGTATTTTATTTTCATAGCATCCCGACTGGGGGCTCCAAGCACATATCCTGTCCCAGTCTGACATACCCGCTCTCCCACATGAGTTTGAGTAAGTGTGAGTCTGTGCCATGGTGCGCAGAGGGTACTCATTCAGTCACTGACCACAGGTCAGCAGTTCAAAACCATGTACTGCTTCTTAGAAGAAAGGTGCAGCTTTCGACTCTCGTAGAGAGTTAACAGCTTCAGAAATCCACAGGGCCAGTTCTAGCCGTCCTGTAGTTCTGTCCTGCTGTGAGTCAGAAAGGAGTTGATGGCCGAGAGTGGAGTAGACCAGAACCCAGGTGCAGGACTCTGGCCGTAAAACTTTGCTGTCTTAAGATTAATACACTGGAAAGTTGCTCAGGAAAGTTTATGGTGTTTGTTTTAAAATCCAAAAAGTACTCTTAATAAGCATTTTAGCAGTAGAATATTTTAAAATCGCACATAGTGCAAGAAGTTAGACCTACTGTGCCAGAAGCCTCGCACTGATGCTCACGGGCTTTGTGAGGTGTGTTTTGACCACACAAAGTCACCCTCTCCTTGCACTCCCTCTGGACTGGGTTCGCGGGGTCACCATTTCTGGGAAGAGGAATCCAGGTAAGAAATGGTTCCTGGAGGGAAATGGCTGTGGGCAGGGTCACTGTTTCTGCACATTTCAGAACGGCTTTGAAAGGAGAGTGGGCGCATGAGTTGCCTCCTCCCAGCCCTGACACGTGCTTACTGCTCTTTAAGCTGCCAGCTCCACGTGCCTCTGGAAAATGCGACGCCACCGGCCAGTTTGAGCCCTCGCAGGGAGCCCAGGACAGTTTGGACAGAAGCAGGAGCCCGGATCCCAATAGGTGCGTCTCACTGTTCACATTCCTCTGCATCATGTCGTTGATTGTCCGGTGATAGCGGGGCTGAGCGGATGAAGGGAAGGAATGCAAACAGCTTGGCGCATCCTGGACCCTCACAAGTAAGTGAGCAGAAAGGAGCCAAGGAGCTGGCAGCTCTTAGGGGACATCAAAGGCCAGGTGGCAGCAGTGACTTCAAGCAGACAGAACACAACTGTTAACGACCGGTCAGCCACCTCTCCCGCCCATCGGACTGCCTGCGCGGCCGCGAGGGGTGAGCAGCCTCCTGCTCCCCCTGGCCCACTGGCTGCCACCCACTAGGGTGCCGTGGAGTGATCCCAGCAGTGACCACTGGAAGGGGGGGAGCACGTACAAGGAGCTTCAGAAAGTTTGGGGGAAATGCCATCATCATTGAGTTCTACTTTCTATACGCTGTTTGAAGCGCTCTGACACCTCACACTTGGTTTTTCAGAACCGTTAGGTGACAAAAGCTTGTGGTGTGGTCTCCCGGCCCCAGCTCCGTCTCCTCCCCCCAAAGACCCCAAAGGCCAGGAAAAGCATAGCCTGTTACCATGTGTCTTAGTCGGGGACCAGAGAGACAAATTCGTAGACACTCGTGTGTAGAAGAAAGAGCGATTGAATATTGAGAAAACATCCCAGTCCAGATCAAGTCCGATAATAGCCTCTATGTCCAAGACCAATCTATAAATTCCTCTTCAGACTCAAAGCAGTGCAATGACACCGAATGCAGGAAGATCACAGGCCAGTGGGTGGAAAGTCGTGGATCCAGTGGCGGTAGAGGCATCTCAGCACTGAGGTGGCCCCTCCAGCTTCAGGGCTCTAGCATAGCTCCATGTGTCTTGTCAGCAAGCATGTCTTGCAAGGAGTGAGCGTGTGTCCTGCCTCCAAGGAGCTAGGTATCTCCTTAGGGCCTCCAAATGGGGTCATCAAGCTGCAACCTGATTGACAGGCTAAACTCCACCCTTAACACTCTTAAGTCTCAAATTAACAACAGATTACGTAACTACCACATCATCTATCCTAGCCTTTTTTGTACATCTTAAAAGCATAAACATTTAACTATATTCATTTAGACAGTTTTACATCTTGATGTTTCACACGAGTATTGTCGCACAGTCTTAAGAACGCCCTGTAAACTTTCCTGGAAATTGTTGCGTTCCCTCATTGCTGAATGCAAGCTGGTTTCATGCACTTTTCCTGATAGGCACGAGGCTCGACCAGTGATTGTAGAGCATGCTTTTCCCTGTATTTTGCATTAAGTCCTTAGGATAGATTCCCAGAAGTGGAGTTGCTAGGTCAAGAGCATGTGCATTTTAAAGGCTCCAAAGAGGATGTGCATTTTAAAGCCTCTCAACTGATGATGCCAAATTGCTCTTTAAAAAGAAGGCCCTTGTGTCTGACCTCTGTGCTTCCAGCCTGGCTAGGGAGTAGGGCATTCTGGCTAACGGAGCCGATACACATACCACACACCCTACACTTGTGAAGTGTTATTTAGTAGGTGGTAAAATACACAAAGTTCTTAGGAAAATTCCCTTATTTTTTAAATTCTAATTTTCCTTGAGCCTTTTGGAGCTCAAGGAATCCTGGTGGCACAAATGGTTAAGCACTCCACAGCTAACCACCCAATGGCTCAGCAGGAGAAAGATCTAGAAATTTGCTTCTGTAAGGATTACAGCCAGGAACACTATCGGGCAGTTCTGCCATGTCACACAGGCTCACTGTGAGTCGAAGATCTCCAGGCCACCTAACAATGGCAATAATAGATAAACATACCAATATTGATTTTATACACATACGTATCAATATGTAAAGTAATGGAATATCCAGAGGAAAAAGGCTCCTCTGTTTTTCAGACAGGGAGCCCTAACCTCAGAGGGAAGGAAAGCTCTTCGGAGTAGGACAGATGGCGAGTGGGAGGCAGGCCCAGAACTCCTAGGCCAGCCAGGCTGAAGACGCTAGTGCCTGGGCGCCCTCGGGCCCTTCGGACGGGTGGTGGGGCCTGTGGCCAGCCCTTTCTGGTAGAAGGGCAGGCACAGTTACGGAGCCATCACCTGTGTTCCGTGGTCTTTCCAGCAGCCCAGAGACCGGGTTCTGTCTGGTGAAATGCTTTCAGTTGTTTTGGGTTTTTCCCCCACTACCTCTGAAGACTTCCTACAAACATTTTTAGAGTCAGGAAATCTGGACTTTGTCTCCCTTCACCCACTTTTCTGTTGTCGGTAAGACATGAAAAAATAATTATAAATTATCAAGGGTTCATGAGGGAGGGAGGGGGGGAAATGAGCTGACACTAAGGGTTCAAGCAGAAAGCAAATGTTTTGAGAATGATGATTGGCACCAAATGTACAGATGTGCTTGATGCAATGTTTGTATGTATGGATAGTGATAAGATTTGTGTGACCCCAATAAAATGATTTAAAAAAAAAGAAATCTGGACTTTGAATATATCTCAGAGATCTCCCAACCCAGTCCTTTCACTTCTCAGTCACAGAAGACCTAGAGAATCCTCTTCCCGGGCCGGAGTCACACAGATTCATAGTGCATTGTTGGAGACACCCAGCCACCCACAGGGACATCCTGGGTCACTCCCGCCTGCCCGGGACTCTGCCAGGTAAGGAATCCTGTGGCCTGGACACTGGGGACTAGCGCCCTCTTGTGGTGGGTTCGAGTCAGTGCAGCCTAGGACTGGCTCCGAGTAAAAGGCTGTACCTCTGGGTGGGTTGGTGGACTTCACTGGGGCTTGAACAAATGGTTGTGTTTGTGTCCCCTTGCTCCCACCCCCACCCCCACCGAAACCCCTGTAATGTAGGATCAGTGTGGAATCTGTTCCCTCTGAAGTCTATAATCCCAAATCAAGAAATCGTGAAGACGAAGAGGTTCACTTAAAATGGAAAAGTAAGTATAGAGACATGGCCAAAATGAGACTTCAGTCATCTGCCTAACCTGGCTATTAGCTCTTAAGTGCAAAGCTATTCTGATCGTTCCAACCAAAGCTAGTAATGTCCTCCCGCGTGATTCTCGTCCATTAGGTCCTGCCGTTTTAAAAGCAAGGCCCGTTGTCTTCAGACTACAGAAGGAGATGCCTTTCCCCCCCTAGACTTTAGAGGAAATATTCACATGCTGTATAACCATGAGGTTAGCAGTTCGAAGTCACAAGCGACTCCACGGGAGAAAGACAAGGCTTTCTACTCCCTTAAAAAGAGTCTCTGAAACCCACAAGGAAGTTCTGCTCTGTTCTGTAGGGTCAATGTGAGTCACAGCAGGCGAAACAGATCAGTACCCGATACCTATAGCCTGTGGGCAGTCTGTCAGTCTTACCTAAAACTCGACTTACTGCGACTGTGAGCCAGTCACAGCAACCCTATAGAACCCCTGTAGGTTTCCCAGACCAACTGTTTATGGGAGTAGAAAGCCACCTCTTGCTTTAGCGGGCACGTAGAACATTTGGAATGTAAATGTTCAACAGGAGCTGTAGCTGAATTCAGATTTCTACTAGCCACTACCGATGGGAAGCTGCAGGTGCTTGTACTGTAAACTCTCTGTGCTAGGAGGGTCCCTTGAAGTTGTCTGCTGCATTCTAGTCTGGATTTTAGACAACAAGGGCTGCTGTGGGGGGGACGGACTGAAATCTTGCCCTTCCCTGACTGTGCCCTCAATTCTCCCCTTCAAGCCACAAAGGGCAAGCGAAGGGCGATACCGCTATTAAAAGGGTAATCATTGTGACATGGGACCTGTAGTGATGGCTCCTTGAGAATTGAAAACCCTCCACCACCCCCTGCTGTGCACGGTGATGTTTAAAATGCTGCTTTCTCTTGTGCCCAGTGGAGGTGAAAGAAATGGCAGAAAAGGCATGTGCTGGGCGGCTCATGGTGCTTCCCTGGCATCCTCAGAGTAGTTTGCCTTCAGCGAGTGAGGCCGAAAATAGGTCCAGTCCTGATGCCCTGATGCAGCGTCGCGCGAGGGACCCTGAGAGCGTGGATTGGCAGCAAGCAGTAGAGTATTCCGTCCAGTGCGATGGCACGAAGAACAGTGAGCAGCCCGGCGAGCAGCCTGGGCCATGGAGCTTCACCAGTACGTTCAGTGGGGGTGGGGGTGCGGTGGGGTGGAGGGCCTAGGCTAGCTCTAAGCTGATGCCAGCTCTCAAAGGGAAGAACATTGCCGGCTTAGTTCCTCTGCTTGGCCCGCTCCCTTCCCACTCTAACGTCCCCCCGCTCCCCGCACTGTTCTTCTCTGAGGTGAAGAAACCAGACATCCCTGTCTTCACTAGTGGGATGGCCCACTTTGTCCCGGAAGTAAATTATCTCCATATACAGACCCTGGTCCTGCATCTGCCCCAACAGGGAATCGAACTGTTCTTAGCTGGAGCAAGAATGGACGCCCCGCCCCGCCCCCTGTCCTACTGCATCACATTTTGAATCTGAAATACACGCACTGGCTCCCAGATCTCCCTGCCAGAGTAGCCTACAGTCACATGACGTGTGGTGCCATCACTTTCTGCATGCACGTGTTCAAACTCACGACAGTGTATCCCACTGTGAGGGCCAAAATAGGACGTGTCTTCCCCGGTCATTTCTTGTAGATCTGTTGGTAGTGAGCGTTGCTAGTATCTAGACGCTGTCCCTTGTCAAACATAATGGGTGGGCAAAAAGGTGGCTGATCCGGGGCTGCGCTTTGGGGCCGAACGACCAGACTCCACTCTCTGGACCTAGCAGACGTGGGACGTGGCCGCCCTGAGCAGAACAGGCACGCCTCTGCCCTTTCCAGTGAGTGTCATCGAGTGACTGCTGTGTTACAATTATTAGGTGCCAGACATCTGTCCCTCAGAAGGAACGAGCAGCCAGCAAATAGTGACGCCTTCCAAGCAAGCCTCGACACACTCATGACCGTTGAGAAACCTTACGGCGTAAGTAAGATGGCCCGGAGAGCCTCGGTGAACCCGAGGGCCCGGCAGTCCCTGACGGTGGAACACACCGCCGTGAGTTTGAACGCGCGCATGGTGTGACCCATGACGGTGAACGATCTGTAGTTATGTTTGATTGGGGCATGTGCCTCACATGTCTGACACGAAGAACGCCGTCGCCGTTTGAGTCAGTTCCAGTTAACGTGGCGTGCATCGTGGTGCTGGGCGAACACAGTGGTCAGCCGGCAGCTTTCCCCCTGACTGTACCGTCTAGTAGGGCGTGCGAGACCAATCCTGAAACCCCAGGTGGAAGGAGGGAGTCCCAGCTCATGACCCAGCAGGTGTCTGCGGCGGGTCTGGATGAACAGGAAGGGCACTGCCTGGCTGGGGACCAGAGTGCCGCCATGGGTGACGTGCTCTCTGACCAGCTGCAGGAAGGTGCTCCTGCTGCACAGCCAGCCATGGCAGGCTTCATGCGGCCCGGGTGTTGCTCGCATTGGCATTGAGTGGCAGCCTTGCCCAAGGGCTTTGAGCGGATAGGTGGGTCACAGTCCAGTCACATTAAGGGACCAAAACTTTCTATTGTCATCGACAGGAGGCCACAGCCACTTAAAGAATAAAACCTGCAATTGAGAATGAAATAATATAAAACCATAATTATGATGTAATTAGAGGTCTTTCAAAAGACATAACAGGCGTTGAATCACAACACACAAATCACCCGCAAGGACACTTTATTCTTCCTTGCCCATGCGGGCGGGGAGCACGTGCCCACACTAAGCATTCTGGAGAGGTAGAGGTAGACCTAGCCAGGGAAGCGGGGACTGGACGGGGATGCCCCTGGGAGGTGAAGGGAAGTGGCCAAAGCAGCGTCGGAGATCAGAATCTCTGAGGGGGTGGGGGAGGCTGGGAGACAAGCCATGTGGTGACCAGGCCCAGAAAGGAAGGCTAGAGAAGACGCTGAAGGTAAAGCTATTACTTTCAGCTCTGTTTCTGCTACTGAAACTCGATTGCTGCTTCCAGATCATGCCCCTTCACTTGCCTCTAAAGGGTGGTACTTGCGGGACTGCCAAATCCCCTGCCTCCCGTCTGAAGCATGATGCCAAGGGAGGGACTGCTCCTGCAACCCTGAGAGACCAGGGGCTTCCCCCTCACTCCCCAGTTGGAATGGTGGCGGCAGGACCTTTGTCTTTGCTATGGTATCGAACATGCAGCCTAACCCTGGTTAAGTGCACCGCCAGCTGTGGGACCTACCACTGTGCGTTACCACATAGTTCACACCACCCATGTCTCTTAAACTTAATTTACTTCTCCTGACCTTTGAGTAGGCAGGTCACCTAACCCCCTACTCAGCCCTACACGGAGGGAGACTCCGCTTCAGTGGGCACGGAGGGCCAGCCGGCAAGGGTGCATGAGGCCTGCTGGGCACTGCTGGGTGTTGATACTTTGCCCAGCTGTAGGGCAAAGTTCAGAGCGAACGCCAGCCAAAGAGCAATCTCCCATGTCATTTCATAGGATCAGTCTGCGGGATCATCCGACTCGCCAGCGTCTTCTGAGGACCTAACAGATGAGTTTCTAACTCCAGACTATGAATATTTTTGCTCCTCGACTGCTCAGGAAACCTTAGCTCTAGAGGTAAAGTCGCCACCGTTCAGGGTAAAGTATATTTTCCACTGTCTCCCTTATGTTTCCCTCTCCCTTTTATGATCGTGTTTAATGAGGAGAGTAGCTTGCCACATAAGCATACATGGTGTTCCCTGGCCCATGGTTTCAGATGTGCTTTCTGAGAAACCGGTCTTTTAAGAAGGAATGGTCACGCTGCTAAGACAGCGGGCCCCGCGATTGCCCAGCACTTTGTACTTGGCCCCCCAATCGCTTGTTTGTGCAGCCTCTCCCACGGGTCCCAAGAGCTAAAACTTTTTGAAAAATGATTTTGTTGAGCATATATATCGGTTCGCGCATTTCTGCATATATAGTTCAGAGACATGGACTGCATTCTTCCTGCTGAGCAACCATTGTTGCTCCCATTAGCATTAGCATAAACTTACTCCTCAGGAAGTGTCCCATCTACTCCTGGAGTGAGTTGTCCATTTGCCCCCATGCGCATCTCCTTAAGAGAGCACAGGGAGCAAGGCCACTGCTTGTCGGAGGGTCTGATGGAGAGCAAACTCCAGGGGACTTTCTTTTGGCTTAAATTTTAATCTCAGGACAAAATCTGGATCCCATGAAAATATGAAATTGTGTGCATTGATTTTTTT